CGAGGTGTGATACCGGCGCCCAGGATGGCAGCTAGTCCATCTTCGTCTCGCTGAATCTTCCTGACATCCAGATTCCACTGTGACAGTAAAACGCCCCAGGGTACACATCTCCCGTCCGCCGTCTTGGATTTCATGATCCACAACGAACCGAGTGTCTAGTGTACACAATGGTGTCTAGTGTACACGATGAGAGGACAACCTTGAATGAGTGTCCTGAACACCTGTAGTATCCTCAGCACGGCGATGACCTCCTTTTCCGCGATGTGATATCTCAATTCCGCATCGTGGAGAACACGCCCCGTAAAACGCACTGGCTGAATCAAACCATCATGTTCTTGACCCAAGACCGCACAAACAGCCCATTGATTTGCATGGGGTATAATAACGAATGGTTTGGTCCTGTCAGGGTGTCTCAACACCGGGGTCGATACGATCTTGTGTTTCAGGATTTCAAACGCCTGCTTTGCCCTGGAGAGATCTCGCCCTGAACGCACTTGGTCATCCGAGAGCTCATACAGGGAGGCTGCGATCACAGGGTAGTCTTCGATGAATTTATGATAATAATTGAGGCTGTCCAAGAAAGATTGCACTCCCTTCAGGGTAGTTGGGAACGGTAAATCCTGGACACCTTTAGCGATCTTCGGTGTTGCCCTGATTCCTTCAGCACTAATTTCGTGTGACAAATACGGGATGGACAATTTTCCGAACGCGCTCTTCTGCAGACTTACTGAAATATTCCAATACCGCAGCCTATATAGCAAAGCATCCAAATCAGCACACAGTGCATCCCAAGTTGGTGCGCCATGTGCGATATCATCAATATAAGAGCTGCGCCCTAGGACAGGTGACATCTGGGTTGGAGCAGGGATGTTCCTTTTGAACACTGTCATTTGGTCCGCCAGGGTAGGCAACAAACGAGGGACATGGTCGTCTTCACAACCGGCGCACCCTGGAGTGCCACACCCTGGGGGTCCATCATCCTGGCGGTCCAGATTCAAAACTTCTTGGTCTACTTCTGCCTCCTCTTCTGGTGGTAGACGCACGAATCCCCACAGGCAATTATTGATCACTTGCTGGTAGATCCGGGGTGCGTTTTTCAGACCAAATGGCATCCGGATCCACTGAAAATGCCCAAACGGACAAACGAAGGCGGAAATCAACTTGGCTCTTTCAGTCATCTTGATATGCCAGAAGCCGCTGGCCATATCCAGGCTCATGAACCAGAGTGCTTTCTCAAAACCAACTAACAGGTCGTCGATGAGAGGTAGCGGATAACTAGACAGCTGGATGAAATTATTCATAAGTCGATAGTCAATACACATCCCGATGTCCACTCCATTTTGCTGCACGATCACGACCGGAGATGCCCACTGCGATTTGGAATGTTCAATCAGATTGTTCTCGAGTAATTTCTTGAGGAGATCGTATACCTTGACTGCCACGTGCGGTCCAATCGATCTTGGGCGCAATGCGATAGGCTTGGCATCTCCTACATCGAGGTCACATACCACGCCTCTGGCGGGGGCAGGTGCAGCATTTCCATCGCCCAGGAATATCTTTCTATGGCGTTTCATAATGGCACGCATCCTGGATTCATCTTCGGGGGCGGTCTGACCTGGAACTCCTACATCGGCCTGATCGATGTCGCATTCTGGGTACAATTCGCTCAATTCTGGCAGCATGACCACCTGGTCCCGTAATTGTGCCAGCGTCTCACTCCCTTCATGTATGTACA